TTCCGGTGGGGGTTGGATTAAAATTATGCCGTTTACCGTAGGTGGTAAAGGGCTTCAATTTTTGGAATTAGTGGTTTTTAGAAAAAATTGGAAATTTTAATTCAATATTTTCCTTGCTTAATTTGATTTAAAGGATTAAAAAGTATTAGAAGGGATGTTTTAGCTGCATAACTATTTTTTGATATAAATTTAAATACAAAATGTGATTTGCTAATGACAGCCTTTGAATTAAAGTCAATAAAGGGTGAGGACCACTTGCTAAAGAAAATACTAGTTTCGGATGGAAATGAGAGGTTAGAATTTTTTCAACTCCAAAAGGTTTTTTAAGGATCATATTAAATGATAAATCATAACCAAAAGAAGATTAGGTGATCGATACTATCAATTTTTAAACATTGCTTTTACTTGATATCATTAAATATTAATCAAAAAGAATTATAATAGAGCAGATAAAGGAAAGTGATGCTAAGAAAGATGATCAAGAACATGTCTTTATAGCCCGTATAACAAATCAAAATATTCTTACATTTCACTAGAATTCGGAATCTTACGAAACATTTCTAGGAAATTTCAAACGGAACAAATATCCAAATCTCAATAATTTTTGGGCCTTATAAGATAAAATCAATTTTAAACCAGAATTATTATTTAATGGAGCATTTTATGGGAATGTCACCATTTATAATTTAACAGTAGATCAGTACGAATTAGTATTCGATTGGTAAAGAATTGGAATCGATGCAAAAATTATAAATCCAACCATTCCTAAAAAAGAAGATACATTAACTCATAAACAAATAGTTATTAGAAATTAAATTGTTCAGAAAATCAAATTTGCCGATGCTTTAGCTCGATCAAGTTAGCTTAATTAGGAATTTCAAGGCTATCTTTTAATGCATACCCATAGAAAACATAATAATTTAATTTCAAATCTATTGACAATGATTGAAGCGGAAGCTTTTGATAATATTGTATCTTTAGTCTGTTGTTTATTATACGGCTAATTCAATCTCATAGCATTTTTAACCATTGAATATTTAAAATTTAAAAAGGAAGATCAAAATTAAATCTACTCATAGGATGATTAGTTTGTGTAAAAATATAACTAAATACTATCAAAATTGTTAGAATTGGAATTTCCTTCTGAAAATGAGGATGATGGGTATTATAGAACTCTACCACGTTACTAAACTAATATTTTACCATTGATTTCTCATGAAAATTGGTTAAAATTAGAAGATTATACAAAATTATAAATATATTAACAAATAAATGAATGGAGTAATA